ATGTCCTAAGGCAGCCACCACTGATGGTATGGTCATCATACCAGAGTCAGAAAGTCAGAACCCAGTGTCCGGAAAATCTTCCTAACACCAAGCACATAAAACTATAAGTTGAGCATTCAGTTCTCACTAATAGTCAAAACAAAAATTAAACAGAAGTTCTCCTCTGTCAGGAATATACTTGATAATGCAGTATATACAATTATAAATGCACCATTTTCCTTTTTTTCTTGAAAATCATGCAAAATAAACTTCATCAGAATTCCTATGTTTATAACTCTCAAAAAAAATGCCATTGCCAAATTATTTTCTTATGAAGAAGAGATCAAAGAGCATGCAGCAAAACCTGTGGGAGAATATATTACAGAGGTGTGCTAGGGAATTAAGATTACATTATTTTTATGGATTTCATAACGTTTATAATATTTGTCAGCTCTTAAAAACTTATAAATCATTGTTCTTTCTCTTATCATTTAAAATTTTTACTTTTGTATCTAATTTTGCACATTATCTTAAAGAGGATCCACAAAATCAAATAAGCTTGAAGCCCACAAAACTAAGATCGGCCTTTTAAGGAACACTCATCTTCCTCAATTGCTTGCCTTTGGGTCTTAACTCCCAACCCTGGCTTACCTCCATCTAAAAAATGTAGAATGAATAATAGAATCAGAACATCATCTTTCACAGTTCTTCCTGAAATAACCAATTAAGAGAAGGATCACCATCGATATATACTGAAACCATAAGGTGAGAAGTTATTGGGAACAAGCTTTCTGCATGATGTCCAAGTATCACTTCATGGATTATTTGCTAAATGAGAAGGGATAAACGTCCCCTTACAACAGAGACTACCTTAATCAAGTGATCAAACTTGTAACTCCTAATAGAGGGAAAGCCTGGTATTTATGGCCATCCTGATGTGACATAATTTGGAGTGTACAGTATCACCCCTATGGAGTATTCCTGCCAAAAAGCCAGTTTAGTCTGATTCTAATCAAGCCTTTAGACCTAACTTCCAGTTTCAGAAATGCAGGGGCTAGAGGGACAAGTTACGCATCCCCACGAGGAAATGAGCAGATGAATCTAGAACATGGGACATGCTACAAGAGATGTGATCTCTTCAAAATGTCAATGTCACAGAAAAATAAAAAGGTAGAAGGGCTGTCCTAGAGTAAAAGAGAATAAAGAAGTATCATGAGCAAACACAATATGTAAACCTTAGATCCTGGTCCTCTTCCACTCCCAAAATCAAAGTTATTAAAGACATTTTGAACACTAGGGAAATTTAAATATGGACCGATTACTAGACAACAGTGGGTAATTACTGTTAATCTTCTTTAGTATAACAATAGTAATGTGGTTATGTAAAAGAATGCCTTATTTTTAGAATATGCAGGCTGAAGTTTTTAGGATGAAGTTATTACAATATAACATTTCCAAAAACGTTTGGCAACTTTTATGCTTGAAAGTTTTTATAATAAAGAAAATTGGAACAAGTAGAAAAAGTATTAAATATATTTTTCTCTCATTTGATCAATCTAACTAAATAGTTTTTAGCAGGTTCAAAGAAATTACTCTTGTCAGACATTAGTAATGAAGCAGTATGCAAAGCGAAGGGCTTAATGTTTTCAAAACTGCCATGTTATATCGAAGAATCTCCCAGGGTCCAAATGCAGTCATGGCCAGCTTAATTAGTGTTTATGAGTAGCTTACAGGCATTTTTAGACTATCATTGAGGATGGAAAAATCAAGCTGGAGCAAAGGGAATGGGGAGTAGAACTCAAACAAAATTAAATAATAGCTGATTTATTTTACTCATTTTTAGAACAAAAAAGAAATTAGGTATGATTCCTTTCAGGGACACTGTACACTTCCAGAGATCTATTTAATAATAAAAATGAAGGGTTAAGTACTTTTTATAGTTTATAAAGTACTTTCACATGGATTACTTCTTAGACTCCTTAAAACTGGCCTATGAAACAGAGGACATAATATTCCTATTTTACACACACGGAAAATGAGACTCAAAGAGGCTGTATGGTTTTTCTGAAGTCCCATAGCTAGCATGTGAGCCCTGGTCCTCTCACACCTGACCACTGCCCTCCAGCATGATCACTGAGTTGGTGTTCATTTCTCAGAGCTTCAGTTTTCTGCCTACATAGCCTAAGGCTCAAATGACAAACTGTAGAGGTCATAATTTGGGCTAGAAAGTAAAACTTGGCATCGGATTCCCGTTCGTTTCATCAACAGAATGTTGGTGGTGGCTAAAGGTGAGAAGGGGTAAAAGCCCAATCTATGCAGGAGACAGCCTGCCGAAGTGGCCTGCACATCACTCCTGACCACCTCTTCAAACTCAATCACCTAACTGGGACCCAGGACATAAAGGGAAATAAAAAATAGTTGTGAAACAGAGCAATCACTGAGGTAAATACATACAAGGACTGTGAAAAGTAAAAGTACACGTAAATACATGTGATTGCTTCACTCTGGTTGTCAAGCCCATACACCTCACAATGCCTAACAGCTGCTTGTTTGGAGTGCTTCCTTCATAAAACTCCTTAACTGGGGGAAATTGCTAATTCCATGGCTTTCATAAAATACATAAGTTCACCAAATGTTTGCTTTGGCAGATTTTTTTTTTTCCTCCTACAGGCAGCCCATATAGTCCTACAATACAGCAGGCCTCTTTGTTCTAAAGATTTACAGTGTTTTCCCAGTGAAAATTCTAATTGACAACCACCAGGAGAATAACAATGCAAAGCAATGAGAGCTCCAGTTTCTCTCATTCTTCCAAGATCCATCATCAAAGCAGCGCTCTCTTCTTAGGTTTCCTGGACTAGTGTTTAGCTCAGTCTTTATCTGGACACATGCTTAAGTAGATGCTTAGGTATTCAAAGTTTATCATTCAAAGCAGTCAAATCTTACAAACAAAAAAATTTTATTATTTCTTTTACTTCCCAGTCTCAGAATATCAGGTCATTCCACCCAGAATAAGCATATTACACAAAAATGCAACTAGGTCTTTTCCAAGTAAAGTGGGGGAGGGCCTCAAAAAAAAAAAAAAAAAAAGCAAGATGATTCAGAAATAGCTGCATGAGAATATTAAAAACACTGTTTTTCAATGGATTCATTATAGGGTAAAAGTTCAATACCAAAGGGAGTGATTTTCATATGAATGTTGGGTGTTGCCAGTCACATACAAGAGGCTACACAGAGAACCAAGTCAAATCAAGCAACTCAGAGGAGCTGTGAGTGACAAGGTATAAAGAGGGCTGTTCAGATAAGGGACAGACATTACTGGACTCTTTTTCAAAGAAAACTTTGAAGATTTTGTTAGGCTTTCTTCGTTGAACTGTCACAAGTAACAATACAATTGTAAATGAATGGTGTTCAGTGGCCACATCACTGCCATTTACAGACCAGCTGCCAATGGCTGCCCATGATGAGAAATTAGCATTTAAAGAAGGTTACTGGGCTGACACATAGCCCAGGGAGAATTTTCTCAAATAAGGTATGACACCCAACACAAGCGCACAAATCAAAACCAAAATAAAAACTCCTGTCTGAAAAGAAGAGCAGCAAAAAAAAAAAAAAAAAAAAAAAAAAAAAAAAAAAAAAAAAACGAAAACAAAAAACCTCCTTACTTTTTCTGAATCTTCTGAATCTCCCCCTTCTCCAAACACTGTCCAGGCCCGCACGGTATAAATAAACAAACCAACCATGTGTTTCCAGTTGCATAATACAGATTAAGTGAAGTGAAGCTAGTGGAAGAGGTGGAAAAATAACACAATTCATTCTCCTTTTTCTAAACAGAAAGCAAAAAAGGAAACTAAGGAGGAAAAGTATAGCGTAAATGGGGAGGAGAACTAAAGCAGAAGTCAGAAAGTCTGAATCCTGACTAGTGTGTGCCACAAGCTTTTTGACAAATGTTATGGTTCAACTGTGTCCCTCAAAAGTTCATTTACTGGAAACTTGATCTCAATGGCAACAGTGTTAAGAAGGTGGGGAAATCCAATTATGGTATTTGAAATGTGGGTTTGTTAAGGTGATTAGATTGTGAGGACTCTGTCCTTGTGAATGGATCGATCCATTCATGGAGTAATGGCCGTGGTTCTGATGGGTTTGTAAAGAGAACAAGTGAGAATTTTAACTCTCTTGCTCAGACCATTCTCACCATGATATCCTGCTTCACTGTAGAGAGTCACCACCAAGAAAAAAAACCCTCACCAGATGCATCCCCTGAACCTCAGGCTTCCCAGCCTCCAAAACTGTAAGAAATAAATTTCATTTCTTTATAAATTACCCAGTTTCAGGTAGTCATTTATAAGCAACAGAAACGAAAATACAAGTCCCAAATTTCCATGTCCTCATCTGTAAAGGAAAGGATTCACTGACATGAGCGATTCTGGAACTGCGCTTCCTGGAACCCTACCATCTGGGGGAGGTGCCACTGAGGCAAGCCACATCAACATGGGAGTAAGGGGAAGGGATGAGACCCCGTGCTTCCTCTCAACCCCAAACAGTTCACAGTTGATCCATTAGGTTCTGAGTAAAGCGTTTTGTTTAAAGAATTCTATTTCCAAGATAACTAACAGCTAAAATGGCTTAAAAGCATTCAACCAACATACGTTGTGGTTTTTCATCTTTATAATAATGTGGCTTCTACAAACCTCTTTGGATTACTGTCATTAGAATTAACTAGCTGACTGGCTGGTCAATATTGATCCTCAAATCTGCATATTAGTTACGTTCTCTTATTCCCACTTAAAAGGTGAGGAAACTGAAACTCAGATATGAAAAATACCCCAAAATTATACAGTTCAAAAGTTGACGCGACTCAAACCCAGGAATGTTGGACATTAGGACCATTAAGCTTGGTTTGGTCCATATAGTTAAAGAATAAACTTCACAGAACAAAACAGTTGGTGACCTCATTATTATTGCAATCCTTTCTCCATTAAACATCTGCTTATTCGTTTTATTCTCTACGAGTAAACACTTACCCTGGTGAGAAGAAATGAATAGCCACAAGTTCTGCCCAACAAGCAAATTTGTTGGGTACAGGAAAGCCCAAAACGTTGACAAAGCCTCCAGGGCAATAATGGTTGTTAAGAACTTTCAAAGCAAACAAAACTCCTACAAAAGAATAAAGAGCATACAAATATCAACAATCCAAATATGGAGACAATCAACATTTACCAAAACCACTAATTTAATGTGAAAATGGGTATCTGATTACATCTAACTTTTTGCTGTGAAACATACTCTATTCCTTATTACCCAGCATTCAGTAAAAAGACAATGCTCAAAGCAACCATTCCTTTGATGTTTCTTAACATGGAAATTCATACTGACTTTCAGTATGCTACTAAATACATAACATATAAAATGGGAATAAAACACCAGCAATGGTACTAAATGCCACTGAATTATATACATTTTAAAATAGTTAAGTTTATGCTATATGAATTTTAACTCCATTTTTAAAAAACCAGTAATATATATTTTTCTAGCCTCTATGGAATACTTTCTGAAGCCAGGACATATTTTCTTTCCTCTCCACAATGAGATGCATAAGGATGCATCTGGGAGAGCAGAGGGAAGAATGACAGTGCAAGTAGAGGGAGAGATTAGATTTCCTTGTTTCAGGACTATTCCCCTCACCTCCCTTCACATTCTAATGTTTAGAACACCGAATTTAAGTCCTAATGGCAATTTCAGTCTCATAAAATATCTGTAAAAAAAAGAACTAGTGAGGAGGAAAGGTGAGAGACAGTGCATCACATGACTAAAATCACACAGGTTGGATTTAAATCTCAGCCCTACCACTTACTCACTGTGTAACCTTGAGCTAGGTACCTCACTTCTATGGGTCTTAGTTTCCTCATCTACAAAATAAAGATGATGCTACCTTCCTATGGATCTGCTATATGAATTAAATAGAATTATCTAGAGTTGGCACAGTCCACGCCATAGCGGGGTCTTGAAAAGAATAGCTTGGGCTGCCCTTTCCAAGTTGGCAAGGCCCTGGAGGGAGAGCTGCTGGCAGGGCCACAGCTACCAGCACTTGCTTTCATTGTAAAGATCTCTGCCTTGGCACAGTGGCGCTGCTTTCACTTTCTCTTTTGATGTTTTGGTCAGCATGGCAGTTTCCTGAGTTTCCAAAAGA